TTAGATGTTAGTCGTCGGCAGTTGCCCATGCGATTGTAATTAGATTAGTTATAGTGGATTAAGTCCTTGAGTTCAAGGCGAAATCACCTTGGTAGGGTGGACAGGACTAACTTGGGGGTCTCTCAAGTGAACCAGGATATATCACGTGTTCTTTACTTTTGCTTATGCTTTAGAGTTTATGTTTTCTTAACTTAATTAGAAGCATTACTTAGAAGTAACACTCAAAAGCATTGTTCAACTAATAATGCTTAGAAGTGAAAGTTACCCAAGAAAGGAAAACCCAATTCAAACTCCCCCCTTTCTTGTGTTTTCTTCACACCTTCAATTGGTAGCAGAGCCCGATTATATTATTGATGGATATCAAACACCTAACAATGTCAAATAAAGATCCAAATGTTGTGTGAAGAAATACTCTAAGGTGATAGTTATTCAATTTTCAACTACTGTCTAAAATCAGAAAATTGAAGAACAAGCTAACAAGAAAAGATTCACCATATAAGAAGTTATATATGTTGAATGCTTTTGATTAAGTTCCTTGAGAATATGACATGTTTTCAAGAAATGGATTAGTCCACCCTTGACTTTATCATAAGATCTCATTAGGAATCTTTTCAAAAGAAGAAATATCGTTGTCTTATGATACATAAGAACCTCATGATAAAGTTGCATATTCAAGAAGACAGAAGATCTTATGAAAAAGATCTAAATATTAGCTCTGCCAAAGGAGGTTTTGCAGAAGACCGGACATTTCTGAGGAAAGAATGCTCATTGACTCATCAGGAGTATGGTCAAAGACTAACTCTAAAAAAGTTAGCTCAACATTGCAAGAACAAGATTGTCAATCAAAATCGTCAAAGTTTGATGATATTTGTATTAGAACAAAATTTTCAATTTGTTAAAGAAATCAAGAAATTCAGAAGACGTTAGGCAATGATAGTTAATTCTCTCTAGTACATAGCTTCTCAGAAGTTCATGAAATATTGACCTTCTGAAAAATAAGCTTCTGTTCAAAGGAAGTTTGACAAACAAATAGATGTTCTGATAATGAAGGATCGGAATATCTATACTCTAAGGATTATTCTCAAGAAGTCGGACGGGTGATTCTAAACAGAAGAATGAAGAGAGCATTTGAAGAGAATACTGGCCCTAGCTCTCAGATTAGAGATTAGAGTTCAAAAGAAGGTTATTCTTCTCAAATCAGAAAACTGAGAATACTCAAAAAAATAAGAGGAATCAATATGAAGATAATTCAGAACCTCTGAAAGACCGCTCTGAAGAAAGCATAAGAAGAAAGAAGTTGATCAGAAGCTGTATATAAGAGAAAGCTAAATTTAAAGACAGGTGGAAGATCTTCAAGCATATGACAATATCATTTCTCTCCTTCTCTTTACTTATTATACTTCTGCTAATTTTATTTTATAGACTCGGTTATTAGAAGATGCTTCGGTCAGGAATATCTCTGATCAGATGGAAGCCTTTGGTTATCCAGACCCTGAGTATATTGATTGTGTCACTTAGTTATACGAAGTGATTAACGCGTGTAACCCTTGATTATTCTTAATCATCACACGCTACCTAAGCTATGTGATGAGCAGTGTGCATATTTCTTGGAATTGATTGATATCATAGTTATTACTTTCATTTAATGTTTCTAATTATTATGTTTAACTGTATTTTCTATCACCTCTCAAACACTATAAATCTTACACGTTCACTTCACTCCCACACGTTAGAAACCCTAAACCCTCTTTTCTCTCTCAAACGTTCAACAAGCTTTTTGCATTCTTCAACAAACCTCCATCATTTTCATCTCTCTCCAACAATGGTGACTCTTAATCAACAAGCTGTCGTTGAGTTTGTAAAAGAAGTGGAACAAAGTATGAGTTCAACAACTATGTCTTCATCAACCATCGCTCCATCTTCATCAACTGTGGTTCCTTCATCTTCTGCAAATCCTGTTGATGTCAATCAAATTACGCAGAAAAATTCTCAAGTTCATTGCAACTTAAAACCACAGTTGATGAACAATCTTCATATTTTGACATGTCTTGATGAAATATGATTTTTGAAACTTGATTTTGATAAAAAATTCAAAGTTTGACTTTTCAGTGTACAGTTGACTTTTTCATCAGTTGACCAAATTTCAACTATCAATTGATCTTGAGAAGTGTTTTGAACCATGACATTAGGTCAATATGATGCATTTGAATCTTTGATATCATGTCTCAAACCAATAAGTCATGTATTTGGTCAAAAGTCAAAAATTGAGCCTTCTCAGTCAAAACCCTAATTTTGACCATTTTGCCCTTTTGGTGATCTGATCAAATTTCTTGAGGAATTATGATCCAAACTTGATCAATTGACATATATGAGTTCAAAGTGTTGATATGGATTAAAAATTATGAAGTTTGACTGTAAATTGAGCAAGGTTGACTTTTTGCCTAATACATTTGATTTTAGGTCCACTGATCAATTGACTGAGTAAAAATGTGATTCAAAGCTCGAAAATTGACATAAGCAATCTTGAGAAAATGAGAGGGAAAATTTTAGGGTACAACAGAAGTCAACTATGGTTTCATCTTCCTTCATTCCCAGGGTCTCAAACTTGGTGGTGAGAAGTTGAAGTCTTGACATCTGAACTTTTGAGGTTCCTTCATGAGCAATTTTAAGAATCTCTCATACTTCATTGCTTTTAGTACATGTGTTGATAAGTAAAAAAATACTTTTTCAGCTCCATTGACTATGGCGTAGAGAGCATTAGAGTTTCCATAAGATTCATCATCTTCATCTTTTGACCAATCTACTTCTGGCTTCAGGGGTTAAGTCCCATATTTAGCAGCAACCACTAGATGTGTCCATCCTTTGATGACAACCTTCCATATTTTGTTGTTCATTGATTTGAGGAAAACTATCACGCACACTTTCCAATTGTCATAATTTGTGCCATCTAGAATAAGCGGTCAGTGAACAGATCCTCCTTCTTTGTCGTTATCCATTTGAACAAAACTCATAAGTTCTCCGGAGCTCACCCAACCAGGACAAGGTGCATGCTCTGATGCATATTGAAATTTTGTTCTTTTTTGAAAAGATGTTTGCAACAACGGGTCGAGTGGCTTGGATACCACTATGGCTGATTAATCTAAGGATGCGTTATATGAGGAGGTTGAAACTTCAATGAAGAAGATCAAGAGACGAAAATTTGAATCTTATAGGAAAAGAGATACAAGTCTCTTAATTATAGGAGATTTGATCGTGGAAATCAGATTTTGTTTTATTTTGTAGGAAAAATAGAATTGTAGTTCTATGTCGCTCACAAAGTCCAAGATGAAAGGCTCAGAGTCAAAGCCAAGAAGCGCATGCAAGAAACACATGTTCCTCTATCTTCACCTGAAACAAATAATTCCACTCTGAAGCATTACCAACCGTCCAGATCAATCAGACGACTGACCACGATCCATGTTGCACTCACTGCTTTTGGTTTAAAGTGCTCCTAATATATAAGGGAAAAACATGTTATTCTCAGGTATTCAAATTCATTCTCACTTTCACATCACTTTTTATTTTCTCGTCGACTTGGGCGTTGAAGTACTACTCTTACAAATCAGCCTCATCTTCACCACATGAGAAGCTTAAAACCACCGTAGCAAAACACCGCTTCATCGAACAACTCTGGTTCTACAACAAAATTAATTAAAAATAAAAATAAAGTAACACATATAATTCCACGTCAATATAGTTAATATTGAAAAAATAAAAATAAATATTTAGTCAACATAGCACGTATACCCTTGTACTTAATCAGATTCCTAGAAGGGGTAAAAGAACATAAAATTTTCAAACAGTAAAAATTGAAATATGAATTTCATTTTTTACAAGAATAAAACAAAATTTTCTATATGATTGAGAAAAAACATTCTATTAACCTAAAATAAAAAGGACACATACATACAATATAGGTTGTAATAAAAAGGTAATACGCATGACTATGTGAACGGAAGATGGTGCCACACAATATTTTTTTATTATTTGTGTAAAATCATAAGAGTTTTTTTTTCTTTTTAATTTGATCTCCATATCCATCTCTACCATGAATCATAATGTATGTAATTGTGAGTTATTTTGGGCCGCTCACTAGGTCCAGGCCCAGGACGAAATGTTCAAAGTCGAAACAAGAAAGGACATGTGAGAAATAGGTGTTTCTCTATCCTCTCTGAAAAATATGTGTTTCTCCATCTTGTCTGAAGCAGACAATTCTATATCTGAAGTGTTATCAACTGTTCAAATCAATTTGACAGTTGACTATGATCTATTTGCACTCTCCGCTTTCGGTTTAAGCCACTTCCATTGTATAAGAGAAAAACACATCGTTCTTAAATATTCAAATCTATTTTTACTCTCATATTACTTTTTATTCTTTCATTGATTTGAATGTTAGAATGTTAACTTTGCAAGTTAGTTCTTTCTCTCTACTACAATGGAAGTTCACAATTACTTTAAGGAAACACTGCTTCACCGTTCATCGAAGAACTCTACTTCTGCATGAATAATATTTCTATTGAATAATATTGAAGGAAATAAATACATGATAAATTTAGAATTTTACAACAAAGTTAAAAGCATGTGATCTTTCATTTTATAAGGTAGAAAGGAGTAAATGTAATTATGGATTTTAAATTTGATAGGAAGTATACTAATTAAGTAAAAGTGAAATTTAAGAGCATTCCATTTCCATATATCATTTTATAAGTATATATATTTGATATTTGATTATTCCATTTGTATCAAAACAAGCAACAAAATATTCATCTTGTCTTGTTCTTTTCTTCTTTCCCACACACAATTCAAGTTCAAATTTCTCCACAAAACATTCATCAAAACACATTCTCAAATTGACACTTCTCTCTGTCGCAATCACAACACACTCAATTTATTATCATATACTTCAAAGTTTCCTAGTCCCCTTTCACTTCTCAACAATTGTTAAGGGACTAAGAAAGATAATGAACACCTCGTTCTTCGGGATCAAACATCATTCTTCTCTCAAAGCTTACAAGACTAGCAGCAATCATTTGGAGTTGTTGAAAAGAAGAAGTTTGTTGCAGAAAACCAAAAACTGGTGCACCGTATATGCCAAACACAGACACCCAATAAGGCAAGATTTTAGTTTTTGTTGCCAAAATGTAAACTTGTTGAGGTTACACCATGTTTCCATTACTGGGTCTAGGTTGAAATGTACCAAAAAATCACGTTTTTCTTCTCTTTTCTTTACCCCATTGTGGAAAGAAAGGATTTTTTTGATAAGGGTGTGTGTTTATAGTGTTGTTATCTCTGGTTTGTTTCTGTTGGTTTGGTTTGGAAGTTATAAAGTTAAGGGTTATGTTGAAACCAAACTACTGCCTTCTGTTTGTTTAGTAATCAGTGAGCGAATTCAGCGTGAATTTCGCGTTGGAAAGGTTAGAAGGATCTCGCCATTGAGTTTGACATTGGAGTCATGTTCATTTGGGCCTCATAAGGAGGAGTTTTCTTGTGGTGAGGTTCCTATTGTTAAGCTTCGTCTTCATCCTTTTGCTAGTTTGATGAGGGGAAAAGTTGTGGTTGATGCAGTTTTGTCACATCCTAGTGTGTTGATTGTGCAGAAGAAGGACTATAGTTGGTTAGGGATACCGGAGAGTGAAGGAGGTATAAAGAGGAACTTGTCTGCTGAAGGGATTGATTGTCGGACTAGAACGAGGAGGCTTGCACAAGAAGAAGCAGCGGCTCGGTTGGAGAGAGAGCGGGATGACGCAGCTAGGGAAGCTGCAAAGAATGGTTACTTTGTTTCTGAGTCCTCCCAGGGGGATGATTTAAAGGAGACTCAAGTTCATTCAAGAGGAGAAACCGGTTCGAACTCCTTTTTCTGCATGAGTGAGGGGAAACATGATCATCATTGTGTAGACAAGGGTGTTGATTATGATATGAAACACGGGGAGTTGGAAAAGACATTTAGAGTGAAGTTTCCTGCTTCATCGGGGCTTAGGTATTGGTCCAGAGTTATAAAAAGGTATGGGAAACACAAATTTAAGAGGAAGTCTAAAAGGAGTGACATATCTGCGTCTGGTGTTGCCATCAAAAAAAGAATTTTTGAATGCAGTGCGTCAGCAGCACATGCATACTTTTGCGGTCGATCACGAGGAAATACTGAGGAGCCTTCATCATCTTCTGAATGCTTTCATTCTATGAATCTCGATAAACATTTGATAAAAAATGATGTTGACAAAGTTACAGAATCGGTTGCCAGTGGTGATGATGATAAAGGTATTGTTGCACAGAATGGGGTAGATGTTCTGCAGCCGGAAGGCCTTAGCGAGACTCTTCCTGTAATGTTGGATTCTGTTCATTTCAGAGGCGCAACTGTGATGCTACTTGCATATGGAGACAATGAAGTTAGGTGAAAACTATTATTGGCATGTTTTATCCAGTTATGTATCTTGTATCTTAAAATGGATTCATTGAACTGATGCTGAGTTCTTTATCTTAGGCAACTGATATCTTGCCAAAATAATATCATGAAGATGCTGTCATAACATCACATTATGTGAAGATAATGTCATACTTGCCAAAATCTTTAATTTGGTATATGTTGTACCTCTCTTAATCTTAATATTTTAAGATGAGAGGTGGAGTATAATCTTAAGGCTGGGAAATGAAGTAATAGTAGTTGTAATTTGCAAATACTAATGAGATATTTCTGTTTAGGGGGTGATTAAGAGGCCCACATTGGATGAGATAAGATCTTGAAAATGAATTTGCAACAGACATCTCGGGAATTAGCCGTGTTCCAGTGTCCAATACGTGTCGATGTCCGACACTCATATGACAAGTGTCACACACCTTAGACACTCTTTGGACACTTCTAGAGGGTTAAAGATGCGCCGAAGCAGTGATTATAAATGAAGGGGGTGAAGACATTAAATTTTATTAGTATATCATTTTTAACTTTTTGATATAGTTGATGGATGAATGAAGATGAAAAGCTGTCATATTTTATTTAAGAAACATTTGTTATGAAACAAATTGCTCAATTTAGATGCACATGTATAATAAATCTTTTATGAAAAATGTTAATATTTTATTTAATTGTAATCTATGATAAATATATATGTATCGGTGTCCTATATTTTCAAAATTAGCAGTGTCATGTGTCTACTTCGGAGCTTGTGCTTCATACCCTCATTTTACAAACTGATTTTGTAGAGTTGAGTTAAGTCCGACTCAAATTTTAAGATGGTACCATAGTATCCACTCGAGTCAATCTTTAGATGTCCAGTCCTAAACCTGAGAGTGTGTGTTAAGAGTCTCTAACATTTGATGACATATAGCCTATAGTTTATAAGTGGAAGATGTCTCTCACTTTACAAACCGATTTTATAGAGTTGAGTTAGGCCCAACTCAAATTCTAAGAACTTATATATTGGAACCTGAAGTCCTATTCAAAAAAATGATAAGCTGCTAGAATTTAGATGTTCTGTATGTTTTACTTTCAGGGAGATGGAGAATGTCAACGGCCATGTGAAGTTTCGTAACCGCTACAACCATATAAACATACACCTGAATGGAAATTGTAAGCCCTGGAGGTCAGATGTTATTTGCAGAGATGGTGGTTGGTTGTCTGCAGATGTTTTTATTGATATTACTAAGCAAGAATGGCATACTAATTTGAAAATCGACAATCTTTATGTTCCGGTAAGGTGTATAGTAATTTAAAGTTCCAAAGTTTTGTCACCTCCTACTTTGACATTTATTCTTTATGGATGCTTATATATTTATATCTGGCCTGAATTCTATGCAGCTATTTGAAAGGATCCTAGAAATTCCAATTACATGGTCTAAAGGGAGGGCCAGTGGTGAGGTGTGTCTTTAACTTGCTAGTTTATTCTTGATAATTGGTATTGCTTCATCTGTTTGATATATTGTTTCCTTTTCTTACAGCTTCACTTGTGCGTGTCTAAGGGTGAGACTTTTCCAAATATTCACGGACAGCTAGACGTGACGGGATTGAACTTCCAACTATTAGATGCTTCATCGTGTTTCTCTGTATGTCTTCCTTTCACTCGAATTAAAATGCTTTGTGCAATCCCTTTTTGATATGTTTCATTTGTAATTCTCTCAGAAGGAAATTGAGCCATTGCATATGCACTGTATTTTTATCGTTCACCAAAAAATACTTATAGCCTTCAAGATGATCAAATAGTTTGGTTTTTCCAGAACATATCAGCAAGTTTGTGTTTTCGTGTTCAAAGAATATTTTTACACAATGCATGTGGCTGGTTTGGCAGCATTCCTCTAGAAGCGTCAGGAGATTTTGGTATTCACCCCGAGGAAGGAGAATTGCATATTAAGTGTGAGGTACTTTTAATCTTATGCATGTTTGTATGCATATCTGTATAATAAATAATTTGTGAAAGTGCTCTACTCTCGGCAAATCACAATAACTTGTTTCCAAATGCAATTCTGTAAAAAATTACATACGTAGCTGTTCTCTGATGTTGCTTATGTAGCTGTTCAACGAAAGAATGTGGCAAACACTCGGTCCACATATTCCTTATTATATTTTCTTGATCAAACTTTCAGGTACCTGGTGTTGATGTGAATGCTTTGATGAAAACTTTCAACATGAAATCTTTCTCGTTCCCGGTATGTTATTTTTTTTAAACCAATCATTTCCATCTTTTCTTTTCTTACTGAATCTTTTATTTGTTAAATTTGAAATCAGGAATGTTAAGTGATGTGAAAATTTACTTTCTACATTACCATAAAGTTATATCATTTTTCTTCTTGATTTCTTTTATATTTTTGAAGTATCATCATTTCTTGATACTTGTTACAGAACTGTTACCGAAAAGAGTGATAATTACCTATCAAATCTCAATCGCTGTGTTTCATTTCTATTTTTAATAACTAAGGTTTATTGATTGTAGCTAGCAGGATCAGTAACTGCTCTGTTTAATTGTCAAGGTCCGCTAGACAATCCTATATTTGTGGGCACTGGAATGGTTTCTAGGACATCGCCTTCTTTACTTGATGACACTCCGGCAACTGTAGCATCTGAAGCACTTGCTAAAAGTAAAGAAGCTGGTGCAGTCGCAGCATTTGACCGCATACCATTTTCATATGTATCTGCCAATTTTACTTTCAACACTGATAACTGTGTAAGTTGAAAGTGGTAATAGTTTCTGTTGGAATTTACATTTTAATGGATCAGCAACTAGTTTTGAGTAAGATTGAAATTTGAAACCTTGCATTGCACTCCACAGGTTGCTGATTTATATGGAATTAGAGCAAGCCTTGTGGATGGTGGTGAAATTCAAGGAGCTGGGACTGCTTGGATATGCCCAGAGGTATGGCCTGTAAACTACCTGTTACTGACTCCCTCACTTGCAAAACTGGAAATTAGAGGTCCCATTGTGTTGCTAAAACAAATTTTCGAATTTTTGCTTTCCCCACATTTCTCTCAAGAGTTAGTCCTTACACCCATGCTGCTAATATATACTATTTTGTTCTCAGGGTGAAGAAGATGAGACAGCCTTAGATGTTAACTTTTCTGGAAATTTGGCCATTGAAAAAATATTTCTTCGCTATATTCCCAATTATCATAGTTTGATGCCACTCAAACTAGGGGTTATACATGGAGAGACAAAAATCTTGGGATCTCTTTCAAGACCGTAAGTCAGTCACCTTTCCCATTCTGATACGATTTGTTTCCCGTCTCTAATGCGATTTGTTTTATGGAAATTGTTTTCTCATTTTATTTTTCTATGCAGAAAGCTTGATATAAAATGGACTGCACCTTCTGCAGAAGGGTCTTTTAGTGATGCTAGAGGAAATATCGTAATTTCACATGATTTTGTTTCTGTTAATTCTGCTTCAGCTGCATTTGATTTGTATATGAAAGCTCAAACAACTAATTCTGATGATTTTTCGCATACAAGTGAAGAGTTGTGTGCTCCAAAAGTCATTCCATTTATCTGTGACAAGATTGAGCTTGATCTGAACATGCACGAGTTTGAATTCTTCCGTTTAGTTACTACTTATACATTGGATTTTCCAAGACCTTTGCTTCTGAAAGCAACTGGAAGAGTTAAGTTTCAAGGAAAGCTTTTAGAACCTAGTTACACTGTGATGGAACAAAATTTTGATGAGAATGGGCAACATCTACACATGTTAGAGAAAGGAAGTCCAGATTGTCTTGTTGGAGAGGTTTCAATCTCCGGTCTCAAATTGAATCAATTGGTGCTCGCACCTCAACTATCGGGGTCGTTAAGAGTTTCTCCTAAATACATCAAGGTAGGAAATAAAACTCGCTCTTCCTAAAAAATGTTGTTTTGTGATGCTATGAACTTGTTTAACAGACACCTTGGCAGTAACTCATTGGTCGATGCAATATAATCATGGACAAGAATTATAATAAATAATTTTATGGTATGCAGTTGGATGCCTCCGGTAGACCTGATGAAAGTTTTCAAGTGGAGTTTATCAGGCCACTACAGTCCAGTGATGAAGATGATCTGAAAAGTGGACAACTGTTGTTTATTTCACTTCAAAAAGGGAAATTGGGGGCCAGTGTCAATATCCAACAAAGTCTTTCAGCTAGCTTGGAGGTACAAAATTTTCCACTAGATGAGCTGGAGCTTGCTTCTCTCAGGGGGGTTATTCAGAGGGTAAGCCCATATTTATGCATTTGACTTCATGTGTTTGTGCCTGTGTGATTGTCGTTCTTATCTATGTTCTCCTCATGCACATTTGGATCATAACAATGTGCAAATTTCGACTTTGTTGCTTTTTATTTTATCTCTTCAACTCTCTATTTTTCTGTTCAGTTCTGTCTGAATTATGACTTGGTCAATGCATTATTTAATGATAATGTAATGAAAATAATACATGCTGCTTTTCCGTTGGTATTTTTCAGGCGGAAATCCAGGCTAATCTTCAAAAAAGAAGAGGACATGGAATCCTATCTGTACTTGGGCCAAAATTCATTGGTGTTCTTGGTAAATCCCTAGATGTGGCGGCTAGGTGGAGTGGAGATGTTGTGAGTAACTAGGACTGTCCCTCTACTATATAAATTTGTACAACAATGTTGTAAAATACAAGTCATTCATTCTATATTATTCAAGTTGGTATCAAAGTCAGGTTTGAATCCTGGGACCTGAGAGTTTTGGACCTTAAGCTTGTAATTTTAATCAAAGCTGTTCATTGACTTCCATTATATGAAATCAATGTTTAGCCGTAGTAATGACCTCGAGCTGTTTTGGGATTGTGTTTGAGTATACTGATTGTTTGTTAACGTTCTTTTGTTCAGATCACAATAGAAAAAGTTATCTTCGAACAAAGCAACAGTCATTATGAACTTCAAGGTGAATATGTATTGCCTGGAGCCCGTGATCGCAACCCTGTTGATGGAAAAGGGGACGGCTTTTCAAAAGGGCTGATGTCTAGGCATCTTGGTAGTGTTATATCCTCGATGGGCAGGTGGAGAATGAAACTTGAAGTCTGCAGAGCGGAGATTGCTGAGATCCTTCCTCTTGCCAGGCTTCTTTCTCGAAGCATGGACCCTACTGTTCTCTCAAGATCAAAGGTGGTATTATGTTTTATGTCTTGGGATGTTTTCTGACCAATAGAGAAATATGATAGAAATAACTTACTGTTGCCACATTACATGTTTGTAGGATTTTTTTATTCGAAGTTTGCAGTCGATGGGATTATATTCAACTAGCTCTCAACAACTGCTTGAGGTATCATCAAGGGATCACTATAATTTTATTTTTATTTCAATAGCCACAATACTTGATGCATCTAATTTGTGCTCATAACCTGAAGTGCCTGCAATGTTAATTTTTTATTCGTAATATTAATGAAATTCACTGCAAACATTGAGGTTTCTTTGTCTATAATTGCGTTCAAATCAATGTTTTAAAAACCGAACCGTTAAAACATACGGGTCAAAGTTCAATTGGTTCAACTGGTTAAATCATGGTTGAACTGTATATTAAGTTTAAACTATAAAAAAATTATTAAACATCCTAATAAAATTAATTTATATCATAATTTGTAAAATAAAATTAATTTATTGGTCCAAACCGAACCGGATTAGGCAACGGTTCAAGGTTGAACCGGTTCAATCCGATTTTTAAAACATTGGTTCAAATTGCAGTTAATAATGGGACATCATGCTTCATCACATGATGTTGTTCTTGAAGATATAAATCTGCCAGATTTATTTGATCTCAAAGGTCGCTGGCATGGCTCTGTCGGTGCAAGTGGCGGAGGGGATGGAGACACCCTGGTAAAAACTCATTACTGTTTGTATTACTATTACACGGAGTTGGCATAAATTGTCAACTTTATGAATACTGAAATTCTTTGTTGATGTCATTTCAGGCAAAATTTGACATTCACGGGGAAGATTGGGAGTTGGGAGAATACAAAACTCAGCGTATCTTGGCAGTTGGTGCTTACAGTAATGATAATGGTATGCGCTTGAAGAATTTTTTAATCCAGAATGATAATGCAACCATTCATGCTGATGGAAATCTGTTAGGGCCTAAAACCAACCTTCATTTTGCGGTCTTAAACTTTCCTGTTAGTCTGGTCCCAACCGTTGCTCAGCTTGTTGAATCTACAACAACAGATTCTGTTCATTATTTGGAGCCATTGTTAGCACCGATTAAGGGTGTCTTGCATATGGAAGGAGATCTTAGAGGAAGTTTAACAAAACCAGAATGTGATGTGCAAATAAGGCTCCTAGATGGTTCCGTTGGTGGAATTGATCTGGAACGAGCAGAAGTTGTTGCTTCTTTAACATCAACCAGCCGTTTTCTTTTCAATGCAAAATTTGAGCCTATAATCCAAAATGGTCATGTACTAATTCAAGGAAATATTCCTGTTACTTTTGTTCAAAATAACACGTTACAGCAAGATGAAGAATTAGATCAGAGTGGGGCTACATTGTTTCCTGGTTGGGTGCGGGAGAAAACTAGAGGGACCGCTGCCGATGCCAGCAAAAAGAACACTTTTAGAGACAGAAATGAAGAGGTTTGGAACACTTGGTTAGCAAAAAGCCTTGAAGGTTTATATTCGCAAAATTTAGATGTTGGAGAAGTCAGGGTTGATGCTGATATAAAAGATGGAGGAATGATGCTGATAACAGCTTTAACTCCCTATGCCGATTGGCTTCATGGAAACGCTGATGTCATGCTCGAGGTTGGGATGGTCAATATAATTGTCATTATAATTATTCATTTTTAGTCGCTTCTCTAAATCTTACTGTATTGATTGATTTAATAGGTGAGAGGTACAGTTGATCAACCATTGCTTAATGGCTATGCAATATTCCACAGGGCATCTATATCTTCACCAGTGTTTCGAAAGCCACTAACCAATTTTGGTGGTACTGTTCAAATGAAATCAAACAGGTTATCCATAACCTCACTGGAGAGTAGGCTAAGCGGAAAAGGGAAACTGCTTGTAAGAGGGAACCTTCCTCTTAGAACTAGTGAAGAAACCCTTGATGACAAAATTGAGTTGAAGTGCGATGTTCTAGAAGTGCATGCGGAAAATATTTTAAGGTTCACTTTCTTGTTCATTGGTTTATGTAGATATGACTATTAAATCTCAAATATTATTTACTTTTGGCAAAATAACTTTTTCTACTTCTGTCAGTGGCCAGGTTGACTCCGAGCTGCGAATAACTGGTTCAATATTGCAACCAATCGTTTCTGGGAATGTTAAACTTAGTCGTGGAGAAGTATATTTGCCACGCGATGGGAGTAGTGGCGATAGTCAAGCCCTTGCTTCAAATCAATCTGCACTTTCTGCTGGTGGTGGTGATAGTCAAGAATTTGCTTCAAGATATATTTCACAGTATTTTGGTTTAAGATCTGCTTCTTTGACGACCAAATCTTCTCAATCCTCGAGCTCTGGTAATACCTTACATTTTAATCATTTTAGCATTTGATCTTCTCCCTTTTACTTATATCTTTCAAAATTATCGCTTTACAAATATATAATGATATATCTCTCTTCTGAAAATTAAAACAACATTGCAGTGAATGGGTCAAGTGATGTTGATAAGGACGTGGAGAAAATGCTGATAAAACCAAGTACAGAAACCCGCCTTAGTGATTTGAAGCTTGTGTTTGGACCAGAATTGAAGATAGTTTATCCTTTGATTCTTATATTTACTGTTAGTGGAGAGCTTGAGTTGAATGGTCTCTCACATCCCAAATGTATAACACCTAAGGGCATACTGGTATTTGAGAATGGTGAAGTTGAGCTACTTGCAACACAGGTCTGTGCGATGATCTTGTTTTATGCCTCAATGTTTTCTCGTATTCTTTTTACTTTTCTTATTATTATTTGGTATCACTGTTTTATGGTGATGCCTTGCTTAAAAAAACTCGGCTAGTTCAATGTTGATTTGGCCCGTCACTTTCTTATTTCGTTGATAAAATCCATTTCAAAATCAGGTGAGGTTAAAACGGGAACATCTAAATATTGCAAAGTTTGAGCCCGAGTATGGACTAGATCCACTGCTAGATTTAGCCTTGGTTGGATCTCAATTTCAATATAGAATTCAAGGCCGGGCTAGCAATTGGCAGGGCAGTGTGGAACAGGATACATTATCACCTATTGAGGTAAAAGATTCTACTATCTGTTATCTTGTTTGATAAATTTGGAGCTCGAAACTTTGTCCTGTGTTCAATATATTCTACCTATGCAGGCTGTTAGAAAATTTGAGAGTCAGTTAGCAGAATCCATTTTGAAAGGCAATGGTCAACTTGCACTTGAAAAGCTAGCAACTGCTACTCTTGAAAAGTTAATGCCGCGGATAGAAGGGAAGGGTGAGTTTGGCAATGCTAGGTGGCGGATAATGTACTCGCCTCAGATTCCTAGTTTAGTATCTTCTGGTGCTACGGTGGATACTTTCGAGTTTCTTGCCGGTAATTTAACATTTGGAACAGATTTTGAAGTACAGCTTGGGAAACGTCTTCAGGTAATGACAATAAAACTAGTTTATCTTTCAAAGTTTTGCTTCTTCCCAAAACCGGGTTCTCAATTGACTGAGTAATTAACTAGTGTTACTCATTGAGAAAGCAATTGTTTTTGTTGCAGGCCAGAGTGACTAGGCAAATAAAGGATTCAGAAATGGCAACACACTGGTCTTTGAGCTATCAACTCACAAGTCGCTTGCATTTGCGCCTACAATCTTCTCCATTACTATGCATATTTTTTGAATATTATGCTACAACCTAGGACTTGTTGATCTTACCTTAGGTTTAGATATATAAAACTTGCATCTTTGCTTTAAAGGAAAGGGTTGATGTGACTACAAAGTATATAGCTGTACATTATTCTTTTGCTCAGATTGAGCTTGTTGATAGGATAGATAATGAATTTAGAGGTGATAGTATATAAATCATTTGTGTAGGGATCTGGAAATTACGGAAATAACTCGATGAATAAAGAGATGTCATTCAAAATTTTGGTCTTCAAAGAACATAATATGCTTACATGAATCTTTTTCATCCCGCAAAGGTTACTACATGAATACAATAAGAACAAAATTTGAGTTTTCACCAAAATCTCCAGGGATCTTTGAAAGGAGGAACATAATTTTCTGTTGGACTGACAAGGCGGAACGAACTCACTGTCTGTTGAAATAAAGGCCCCATCTGCATAAAAAATTATTAGAATCATTTAGCCGAGTGTAATATGTAAATGAGCACACACTCAAACACCGTGAAAGAGGAAGAGAGCATGTACTTTTTTCCACTGTGGACTGAGGGTTGAAGCGCTGATCGAGTACAGATAACCTGAAATCAAGGACCGTTAGTAACAGTTATAGTCTATCGATGCATGTTTGCAATACTTTGTAAAAAATTTGAGAGGCAATACCATCTCTTTCTGCTGTTGAAGCGAGATAATGTCGGTAAATTCCTGATTCTTCAGACTGTACAACCATCATTTACATGTCCAAAGTAATAATCACAATCACATACACCACAACTATTCCAAAAAGAAAAAAAACGCACCAAGAGGAAATACTAACCATTGTATTAGGCGATTTACGGATAAGGTATTCATAGTACCAATACGGTTCACCATCAATCTGTGAGGAGACAGACAAACTCAACAATGCGTCAAAATTTTCAATCTTGTATCAAATTCATTGAATGAACGGTCATATATATGACGCAATATGCGCATTATCGATGTGGTGGAAACCAATAATTATGAGAAAACAATGATGTGTAAAGCTTACTTCATCAGTATGTGCGTCGAGGACTGAACTCTCGGCAGAGCGCTCAGTTGAGGTAACTCGCTGCAAAATATTGTAAATATCAAAAACAAGTTGGAAGGATTTTTCATTACAGATCACAGACAAAGCACCTTTCAGCAACATAAAGCATTTCAAATACAAAATTTCAGAAGTTAAGAATAGCACGAGCACGAAAATCTATGAGAAAGGAGCAACAAGCTACCAGTGAAGATTTGTCAGCTAAAACTGAATCAGCAACATCTTTTGCAGTCCATTTGCTCTTATCCTTCAAGTTTATAAGGCTTGCATTTGGAGGGCCTATCTGAATTTAATGCAAAAAAAAAAAAACTGATAAAGCATGATTGAACTGATAAACAAAATTTGATGCAACAAGTTTGAGGTTAAGGAAATACCGTGACCGAAATGATGAGATTGTCAAAGATATCAACACGTTCAGACACAATACGCAGCCGAGCATTAGCTGTATGGAATTTATAGAGAAATTTTTATCCAGAAAAAGGGAAACTACATAGCAATCATCCAAATATCATTTATGCAGAAAATCAGCACAGTGAAAAATTCCTATCTTTCAGATAATTTGATGCACAACAAAAGAGCTGATATGAGTTAAACTAAAAGACAGTTCTAAGAAGTTTGCAACAAAACACAATCTCAATTCTGAAATTCTTTGACAAGATAAACTTTTTCCATGAAAGTGAAGAGAATAAAACTTACGAGAAAGTGGTGCAGCTGATGAGTATCGTTCTGGCTTTCGAGATTCTACCCTTTAAATATATGGAAAGGGTTAGTTTTTCCTATAAAATCTATGAAAATTGCGCGAAAAATGGAGTTGTAAATCAATTACTTTAATTAGAGTATCTGGTCTATATTTGAGATCAATTACATAAGTTATTCAATGAATATGAAAATGAAACATTTGCTTATAATAGTAATCGGATAGACTAACGTTCATCCAATCGAGAAGTTCATTGAACATGTTATTGATATTGTTGATGGCAAACATACCATTTGAAGACAATTTTTTTAGAAGCAAGCTCAACAGGGTAAAGATAAGAATAGGCATTGATTTCATCTACAAAAGAAGCCATTTTGGGGTCTTGTTGTTCTTCTTCAGCATGAGTAGCTGCAAAATATAATAGGAAAGAATTATGATAATAAAACAAATGTGTCTCAAATCTAACAGAAAATGCAAGAGAGATAGAGAGAGATATACCAGAAATTGGAAGGCATGTTAGAGATAGTGAAGTGAGGCCTAACAGCATCAAATCCCTTCTGGTTTGTGAAGTGGGTTTTAGAGAAGAAGTTGAAAAGTCTCTTTTTTGGTCGGATTTGTTTTGGTTAAGGATTACCAGCCTTGTAGTGTTATTGTTGTACCTGAAGATAAGGTTGTTGTTGGAGGGACAGGGAGAGAGACATAGAGAGTGTAAAACCATTGCTGCTCACCACTGCGCCACTTCGAATTCAACCACCCTCTCCTATAACATTATCCTGGTTTCTATCTATGTAACGTAAGATTCTTTTAATAAAAGGTTTGATGTTTGAAAAGAAAGTATAAAAGTGAAATATGTAATGATAGCACTATCTTAAATATCTATAATATAAGAAAACAAATGTATTTGGAAATGTCTTTTTTGTCCTTTGCTACAAATTCAACACCTATTGATTTTGGGATTAAAATGTGTCTAAAATTTGCTTTTTCTAACAAAATTCAGACTTTGTCCAAATTAAACTAATGTTTTATTCACTTTGTTGCTGGGCATTTTAGGCAAGAAAGGCACTTTAGGCAAAAAAAAAAGAAGTCCCCACTGACCATTGAACTTGTAAAAAAATTCATCAAAGAGATTTTATATGATCTTGATGGTGAAATTTTATATGAAGAATTAAAAGTCATCAAAGAGATTGTAACAGTTGAATCTAAATCTACTTTTATGATATTGAGTTCTCTTAAGACATTCAATTATTTTCCTAATACATGCATAGTTTATAGAATAATATTAACTATTCATGTTATTGTTGCATCCGTTGAGAGGAGTTTTTCAAAATTAAAATTGCTAAAATCTTATTTGCGATCGACAATGTCGCAAATTAGATTAAATAGTCTTGTTTTAATTTCAATTGAAGATGATTTTTTAAAGAATCTTGATTTTGATAAGATTATTGGTGATTTTGCAGCAAAAAATGCTAGGAGGATGATATTCAAAGATTAATAGCGAGAGGTTACAGCTAGTGTCGGAATTGGAATGCTACTAGTACATGTTCGGATTGATTGATACATTATAATTACCTTTTTCATAATTTCATTGTAGTTTTGATTTGGTGTAAACTTTTCAATATTAATGTAAATTTTTTTAATTTTTTACAATTGTATATTTATGATTATATGACTTATAAATCAGGTAAAAAAATTATGAATTAAGAAAAAGGGCACAAAATTCATAATTTCGACAGGGCACTCAAAATCTCGGGGACGGCCCTACACACAAACATAAATATTCTTCTAGAGTGTTGAGTTCAGAACCTGATGACATCACACGCCTTTTCTTCAGAGTCAGGACATATTTAGCAAAAGTTACACATTAGACATAAAATGTTAGAGTATACAATTGTTCTCTAAGATAACATGTAAAATTATCATCAAAACTTAACGTCAGATGCAGACCGAATCTTGTTCTTACACTAGTCATTACTTAGATCGATAATGTTAATCACACTCTTCCTAACCCGCATAAATTTATGCCTTGTACCTTATTCTTCTCCCAAGAAGTTTTGCAATAACTCCTCTACGCCATGATTTGTGAATTTTTTTTCTCCTCGTGCTTAGAGAAAATAAACTTAGGACAAGCATATTTTCCTTCTACATATTCTTCTTCCTTCATGTCCTCCATATCATTTACATTATCTTCCATTAATTCTTCATCATCATCGGACCAATCTTATCACATGTGCTTAGATTCATTGTTCCCATAACCACCTCCTTATAGGTTTTCTCCCTTAACTTCAAAACTTTCCATGTTATAGTACAAAAGTCATCTCAAGGAATGTCATACTCAGTGAATCACAACCACACCACACAAATTTCATTATGAATCTTGTTGGAACATGTCCATGTTTCAATATGTTGAATTTAAAAACTTCTCAAGTCCCACATTGTTAGAATATTTTTTTGGTTGAAAAAACCATTTAGTCCCACATTGCTCATGTGAGAAATATTAACTATCTTACTCCACTATATAAGAAATGCACATGTTTCATTCCAAATCACACCAAAAACTATTCTATTAGTTTTTCCTTCCTCACTCTCATAACTCTGTGTCTCTCGAATTATCGAAGCGCCATCTTTTCCCCCTTTCTTCCTACTCGTTGAATTTTCCGAGTATTTTCTTGAATTCTCTTTAGAGAATTATGTTAATTTCTCCTCATTTGAGTTAAAAAAATTTCAAGTTTAATCTTTTGGATTCTCTTTGGAGAATTATTTGAATTTCTCTTTGTTAGAGAAATTATTATGAGTGGTCAAATGACCATTATTATATTCTCTTTGGAGAATTATTTGAATTTCTTTTTGTTTGAGAAATTATTATGACTGGTCTTTGTACCAGATACTATGAGTGGTGTTGATACCATATTTGAATGGTCTTGTACCATCAGAGGGTGTATTTCTAGACCGATTATCTATCATGCAAGTAGTAATCGTACAATATAGAACTGGGTTGTTTTATCCTGGAGGCGGCGCGGTAGTTTGACTGCTTTGCATAATTTTGAGCAGTGCCGCGAAACGTCTTAAAGAGAGCGACCTAGTCCGCGACTCAACCTGATAATTTCTTCGGTGGCAAATATTTCAAAATCTGAATCCAACAAATCTTAATCACAAATATGAAATTTGAAGAAAATATCAAGATAAAGATAACAACTAAGCAAATATACGTGAATAAAAAATCACAGAATTCACAAGATACATAACCAAAATAAAGATCAATTAGATCACCAAAATAGAGAGATAATCCAAAATGATATGATTAAAAACCAAAAAATATGCCAATATAATTAAATGCAACTTCATCGTAAATCAGTCAGAAAAACATCAGATGGATCAAAAGTAGAATGAGGTGCAGCAAGATCATTTGGAATTGGAACAGAAATATCTGTTGCAACATCAGTGGAACAAGTATGAAAGATGTAGTTATTACTACCCAGGTAATCAATGGCAACCTTCAAGAACTTAATATGAGTAGATATTTGATCTTCAGATGCAAGAATCTCATCCTTCAGCTCAGGTCTCTAACCTGTCTTCAACTGTACCCGCCTACATTTTCTCTCTCTAGCTACAAAATTAATCTTAGCCATGATCCAATCCTCTTAGATCTAGTTGTTAGCCACAAGTCTATCAAATACCTCATCAAGATAACTCTACAACTTAGTGGAAAATAAACCAAAAGGAGTAGAAGAGGAAGAAGCAGCAATATGATCAACAGGTGGATCAACAATCTTGTTATCATATACCTTTATGCTAGATTCCTTAAGGTAAAAATACGAATCATCCTCTGAATCCCTATAGTATCTCGTATTAGACACACAACCATAGTCAAGAATATTCGGAATTAGAAACTGATCATCCTTCTTGGGCACAACCCCGTTAGCTTCCAAAACCAGTTGAACAAATGAAGAATAAAATAAGGGAGCCTTCTTGGTGTCATTGCAATAAAGCATCCTTCCAACAATATATTTTTCCCAGCTCATACAATGGTTACCACTCAATACCCACATAAGATAGAGGTCATGATCATCAAATCATCCGCAATTTCTTGATTTCCTATATAGAATCTTAACAACAATCCAATGAAGTAGATGTTTGTCAAACTTGACTTGGTTTCCGCCAAATTTGGCATACCTGGAGACTCAACAACACTCTTAGAAATAGTCAGCACTTGTGAAACCTTATCATAATTATCCGATGCAACATTAACCAAGACACCACTATTGTTCAAGTCAAGATAATTCTTAAAATAACAATAATCAAATTTGATTAACTTATCATTGAATCTACTCTCTAAGCCAGTAGGGGTCACAACCAGATTACAATAAAAAGATTTGATGTAATAAGTACAATATTTCTTTTTCAGACCAATAAATTTCAACAGTCCTTTATTAGCAAAAGGTTGCAGAAATTTAAACCTCAATTTAGTAACAAAAGTAGCATCAACGTAATGCTCAGGGTCTACAAGTTTATCTAGAAAATTCTCTTGATATCGTTTCAAACTATTCTCAGGGAGAAGATGTTTTACCTTATGACAAATTGCTTCAGCAATCTTGATTTTGGGTGACTTTTTCTTGAGCTATCCATCCAGAGTATCTGTACTTGATTGATCTTTGAACCTAGACCTCTTTGTCACTGGTGGAGGAGATGAAGAAATATGCGGTCTCTTCCTGTGTTGCTTGTCAGTAATGTTTCTCTTGGGGTTGCTTGAAGCCATAACAGATGATGATGAAATGGGTAGATGAATGAGTGTTGATAAGCAATTTTCAACTAAGGAAATGAGCCTAAAATTATGGGATTCATTTTTCTAAAAAGGCACAAAGTGGAGAAAAATAGCAAGATGCGTCGAGCAAGGAAAAGACGTTGACCAAAGTGAGATAGTCGACAAAGGCGGGTGGGTCATTGGGAGGTTGTTGATAGAAACTAAGGTTGAAGGAGCTAAAGGAACAATGCCTACTGGCGGGAACAATTATCAACGTGCAGAGTCACCAAGAACATGGAAATATTCAAACAGTCTCCATGAAGCCTAAATGTGGGCTAGTAACCATCGATGGTTATGTATTTAGAATGTATATTTAAGTAAATTTATGTATTTGTGTTAGAGATCATATTTCTTCATATTTAATAACAATACACTCAAAATATCTGCATCTAAGAGAGAAACGAGTTCATGCTTAATAATGTATGAATGCTTCCACATTTAAATTCTTAACAATTTACAGTCTTTGATTTATTTACATTGCAATTGTCTTATCTTTTGCCCTTCTTTTTTTATCCCTTTTTTCAACCCAAAAACACCTTAAACACTAGAGTCTGGGATTACTGTAGCCGATACCGCAAGTAACCTTTAATAATAGGCTAGCGATTGTTTCACGGAGAAACAAATTGGCACACCTGGTGGGACACATTTGTGTTTAAGTCTTCTTATTTCGTACATGAAATTAAGAAGTGGTAGAAAAATGGTAGATCCTAGAAATCCTGAAAGGGATCAGAATCTGGGAGAAAATACCAGTGTGGTGGCGAGTGTAGGTTCTAGTCTGGCGGTTGTATCTTTGACAGTGTCAAATATAGTTACCACAACACAGACAGTAACCACAAGACCAACAATGGTCACAACTGCTGGGCACTATGCGCCTAGTTTCACAAGAGAGACACACGATAGTGTGTTTCCAATAAATATAC